AACTATGATACTTTACGAAGACTTACCCGAGCTCCCCATTGATTCAAAACATAAGTGTGAAACTTGTGTTGAGACAAAATTGACAAGGTCATCGTTTAAATCAATTGAACGGAACATAGAACCACTTGATTTAATTCACAGTGATGTATGTGCCTTAAAACTTGTACGAACAAGAAGTGGTAACAAGTATTTCATTACTTTTGTCGACGATAGCACCAAATACTGTTGTGTATATTTGCTAAAAAGTAAAGATGAAACTATAGAAAAATTTGTTCTCTATAAGAATAAAGTTGAAACAAAACTTAATAGGAAAATTAAGGTGCTAAGAATCGATCGAGGTGGTGAGTATGAAGCACCATTTGCGAAATTCTGTGCACAACACGGAATCGTACATGAAACCACTGCACCTTATTCACCGTAACAAAACTATTTTGCTGAACGAAAAAATCATACTTTAAAGGAAATGATAAATGCAATACTAGTAAGTTCTAGGTTACCTCAGAATATGTGGGGAGAAGCTGTGTTATCAGCAAATTACCTTTTAAATAAGGTGCCCCGAAAGAAAATGGAAAAGACCCCTTATGAGTTATGGAAAGGAAGAAAGTCTTCTTATAAATACTTACGAGTGTGGGGATGTCTTACTAAAGTGGCGTTCCAACACCAAAGAAGGCAAGGATAGGGCCAACAATAGTAAATTGCATCTTCATTGACTATGCACACAATAGTGGTGCTTATCGGTTTCTCGTGTATGATTCTAAAATCCCAGACATACACAAAAACACGATATTAGAATCAAGAATGCTTCATTCTTTGAACATGTGTTTCCGTACAAGTCCAGAGAGGAAGCAAGCTTCTCCAAATGAACATATGAGACTATCACTGAACATAGTTATGATGACGAACTAGAAGAGGAGATTGAGGTTAGATGTAGCAAACGGGTAAGGATATAAAAATCGTATGGTCCTGATTTTCTGATTTATATACTAGAAAGTGAACCTCAAAGTTATCAAGTGGCTGTGAATTTCTCGGAAGGACCTAAATGGAAAGAGGCCATTAAAAGTGAAATAGATTTCATACTGCAAAATCATACATGAGAGCTAGTGGATCTTCCTCCAGGAAACAAACCGCTAGACTATAAATAGATTTTCAAAAGGAAAATGAGAGCAGATGAGACTATCAAAAAGTACAAGGCTAGATTAGTAATAAAAGGTTACAAACAAAATGAAGACCTTGATTACTTTGATACGTATTCTCCAGTGACGAGAATAACATCTATTAGGTTGATACTTGTGATTGCTGCTTTGTGAAATCTTAAAGTACATCAAATGGATGTAAAAATTGTCTTTTTAAATAGAGATTTAGAATAAGAAATATATATGGAACAACCCGAGGGGTTTTTATCACCAGGGCATGAAAAGAAAGTTTGTAAATTGGTGAAATCACTATATGGTTTGAAACAAGCATCCAAACAATGGCATGAAAAATATGATAATATCATGATAGAGAGTGGATTTAAAATCAATGAATGTGACAAATGTGTTTGCGTCAAAGACGCTAAAGATGGTTATATCATTTTATGTCTTTACGTTGACGACATGCTTATTGTTGGTAGTGACAATAAGATGATTGAATCTACTAAAAATATGTTGAATTCGAGATTTGACATGAAAGATATGGGTTTAGCTGATATTATACTTGGAGTTAAAATCTCAAGAACATCATATGGGCTGATTTTAAGTCCATCACATTATGTGGACAAAATTTTGGAAAAGTTCAATAAGGATGATACTAGCTTAGTTAGAATACCGATAGATACAAGTCAACATCTATCTAAAAACAAAGGTGAAAGTGTCTCTCAAGTAGAATACTCGAGAGTTATTGGAAGTCTAATGTACTTGATAAGTTGTACAAGGCCAAACATAGCCTACATAGTCAGTAAACTGAGTAGATACACGAGTAATCCAAGAGCTGATCACTGAAAAGGAATAGTAAGAGTACTAAGGTACTTAAGATGTACTCGTGACTATGGACTACATTATACCAGATATCCAGCGGTCGTTGAAGGATACAGTGATGATAATTGGATATCTGATATAAAAGACTCAAAGTCCACTAGTGGATTTGTGTTCACATTGGGAGGTCTGCCATATCGTGAAAATCCTCTAAGCAAATAGTTATAGCCAAATCTACGATGGAATCTGAGTTTATAGCTCTAGATAAATGTGGTGAAGAGGCCGAATGATTGCGCAATTTCTTAGAGAATATTCCAAGATGGTCAGTGATATGCATATATTGTGACAATCAATCAGTAATAGGAAGAGCACAGAGTAACATGTACAATGGTAAGTCTACACATATACGTCGTATACACAATACCATAAGACAACTACTCTCAATTGGAGTGATCACTATTGACTATGTAAGGTCAAAAGATAACATTGTTGATCTGCTAACCAAATGGTTAAATAGAGAGTTAGTTGGAAAAACATCGAAAGGACTGAGATTTAAGCCCTTAAATAAATAAGTCATTACAAAGGAAACCCAACCTAGTTGACTGGAGATCCCAAGATCTAGGTTCAAAGGGACAACCTAATTGTAAAAGCTTAATAAAATCACTGTGGGGGCATTTCCTCTTGTCCATTACTATGATGTAACAGTGATGCTCGTAAGGATGAAGGATAAGTAATAGGCTTTTAGTGATTTTTATGCGTCAAAGTTCAAACCAAATAATGTGGGTTACTTCTAATAAGAAATCACCTATGTGAGAGAGAAGTGGGGCCGCTTCTAAAAGAATTGTGTGGGGCTCAATTCTTAAGAACTCTCACAGATCCAGGCATATGTTAATGGCCAAAGTGAACATAATAATGAGAACTGAATTGTGTTAGGAAGAATTTTGTGTGGAGTATATCATCTTTTATATTAATGACAGAACAATTCAAGGACAACACGTCTATTGGTCAGTTAGTAAAGTAAATATGCTTTCACAAGGGAATGTTCAAAGGGTAATACCTACCTATCCTATGCAAGCTTCAAACGTTGAATTTTATCATCACGTCTTGTGTCTTACAGTCTCGTGCCTCTTCCAATTTTCATTCATGTGGGGGGTTGTTGGAAAAAAAATGAGTAAATAGTTCACTTTTGACAATATTTTCGGTGGGAACCGTTGGTCCAATTTGGAAGATCAAAGTTGATCTGTGTTCTCCTTCGTGAGAGCATCAAAACCATATATTTACTTGCCAAAAATGAAATTCAGGTGAATGAAAAATTGGAGCTCAAAGATGACCATTGAAAGATGGTTTAGTGAGAAAATTGCATTAATCCCACATAGGAAAAATATGAAAGCAAGAACCAGTTTAAATATGGTTGCTCATTGGAAGGGTGTAATTATGTATAACATAGAGGCTCTCTCCATGTGCGCACGCAGGGGGTGCAAATCACGAATTGAAATTGCCTTCGAACTTTGAACTTGTGTACGGATGCGACCTGCATACACAAATGTCAGACCAAACAAAGCAAAAATTGGCTCTTTTGGAGAGCTCACGTTTTGCAATTTTTTTCTTTGCTTTCTCCACTAACTTTTGAGTTTCCGAAAATTGCCAAAACTCCCATAAATTGAAGCAACTCCACTGTTTATTGCTATGGAATTAATAGGCAAATTTAAAACTTATATTAAGTCTGATTTCCAGCAATTCAACCAAGAGAATACACGCCTTATTACAGCCCACAAAAGTATACTGTATAGGAGAAAAAACTGTCTACATATTAGTGTTGTCCACATACATAGTCTGTTGCAATTTTGGCGTTGTCGTTGTGGTGATATTGTTCAAACGCTAAATCAGTTCATCGGAGTAATTTCTGAGGTACTTAGATTCTATGGGTTTTACTGGTGTATCTTGGGAAACAGACGCTCAGATTAGATATCAAGCACTTAGCAAATGTTGGGTTGAAGATTTATCTATTTTCTGCAATTCACTTATTTATTTATTTAGGGATTTACATATTTAAAGTTTAATCTTATGCTTCGTAGATTTTTCAATTTATTTTGTTATATATGCTTCATATAATTTTACAGTTTATTATCTGTATGTCGAGGAAAAAAATCTGAAGAAAATTAATTAATTTGGTAACATTCAGTTTGGTAGTTGTCCAACCGGTATTTATTTAGATAATATATGCAAATACGGTATTTCTATATTTTGGTGTATGTAAGTGCATATTCGGTATGTTAGTTACATATACGGTATCTAGCAAATATGTGTAAATCACTCACTGTATATGAAATGGAATAAAACTAGTTTGTGAAAATTTTATGCAAATACAGTGAGCTTTCTGCAAATATGGTAGGTAGCATATACGATAAACTGCAAATATGGTAAGGTGAAAATACGGTAGGCTGCAAATACCGTAGGCGGCATATACGGTATATGCATATATGGTATGCTTAAATTTGGGATATAAACTACACATACGGTATGTGATAATCCGGTTTCATTACCAATTCTATATTTCCATCAGATATTTTACAATAGAATTCAAAGCGCTACTTTTCTATGTCTCGATAGTAAAAATTTGTTAACTAGAGGTCGAGTACTAGATTTTTTGAATAAACCATTAATCTCATCTCTTCACCAGTGATGATCTGCACTATTTGAATGATCCATACAATTCAAAAGCAGTGGAAAAGAACAACGTTCTGCAGGAATAATGGAGCCTCTTCGTTTGAAAACTAGAAAGTAGAAACTGAAGCAAAAAGTGCAACCTTACCACACATGGTTTGCATGAAATATTACTATATTTTTCCAATTTTCGTCTTATTGTCATTCACATTGATTTATAGCCTTATTCGACTTATTTGGCACGTTAAACTAGAAATGATCAGAAAGGACAAACGACAACACGTCACTTGTGTCCAATTCCAAATACCAAACACGCCATTACGTTTTAGTATAAAAGAGAAGGGTTAGTTTTTTAGACTTCATAATTAAAATCAAGTTATTTCTACAAAGAAAGAATGGGGTGTGCAAAAGTGGTATTTTTTACAGTTGTACTTTCATTGGCCTGGGCCAGGGGTGCTGAAGAAACATGGATCCGTGCAGCGCCACCGTGTGATTTCCCTGCAATGTACAACTTTGGTGACTCAAATTCAGATACCGGTGGAGCATCAGCAACATTTGGACCCATTCCACCACCCTATGGTGAAAGTTTCTTTCGAAGGCCTGCAGGAAGGGCTTCTGATGGTCGTCTTATCATAGACTTCATCGGTAAAAAAACTAATCCTACAATTCTTTTAGTATTGTCTAATTCACCTTACCCACCATGCCATAATTGTGAGTAGTGATACACGTATATTGATTCAACTATATTACGCAGCTGAGCACTTGGGACTACCACATTTGAGTTCATATCCGGATTCTATTGGCGCAAATTATCGACATGGTGCAAATTTTGCTAGCGGAGGATCAACCATCCGAAGGCAAAACGAATCCATATTTGAGAATGGTTTAAGTCCCTTTTCATTGGATATCCAAATCGCTCATTTTGATCAATTCAAAGAGAGAACCAGTGAACTTTATTGTCAGGGTGATTTCAGTAGCCATCGATATTAACTAGAAGTCTAGAATATGAATTCCCATTTCTCAATCTCGATAAATAATATTTTTTTTTTCGATATATTTTCAGATAAAGATCCATACGAAATGAATAAACTTCCTCGACCTCGGGAATTTTCAAGGGCTCTCTACACATTCGATATTGGTCAGAATGACCTTGCTGCTGGTTTTGGAAAGCTTAGTGCCGTACAACTTAAGGCTGCAATTCCTGACATTGTTAATCAATTTGCTATGGCAGTTACAGTAAGTTCATCTTTGAAATCGGTTTTTCGTATTCCTTTTTTCCCAATATTTACTAAATGTTGAGTGTGATTTACAGCATTTGTATCAACGAGGGGCAAGGACATTCTGGATACATAATACTGGACCTATTGGTTGCTTACCGGGAGCAACATTTTACATCCAAAACCCAAAGCCCGGTTTTCTTGACAAATATGGCTGCATCAAGGCTCAAAATAACATGGCTATTGAGTTCAACCGACAACTTAAAACCCAAGTAACGAAACTCAGGCGGGAGCTTCCACGTGCTGCACTGATCTATGTCGACATCTACTCCGCGAAATATCACTTAATCCGCAAAGCCGAGTACTATGGTCAGTCATTCTCGGAAATTGTCAATTGGCGGAAGAAAAGAAAAAAAGAAGAAACTAAAGAAGAAGACATGATTTTTGTGTCTCTCCAGTTACAACATTAGTTTTAGCTACCCTTTAAACCTGATCTTATGCTACTATTTCGTGCAGGATTCATGGACCCTTCAAAAATCTGTTGTGGGCATCACGAGAAAAACATTAATGTATGGTGTGGACAAAGATTAATCATAAATAACACCGAGATTTTTGGTGGTTCCTGCAGCTCTCCATCGACATATATTAGCTGGGATGGAGTTCATTATTCTCAGGCAGCAAATCATTGGATTGTCAATAATATTCTGAATGGCTCTTTTTCTGATCCTCCAAAAGTGATTGACCATGCTTGTCTTAAGCACAAGATGTAAAATGTTGTCGAATTAACGTCGTACTTTTTGAAGTTTCAGAAGTGCATGTTGTAAGAATCTTGAAAGTCAATTAGCCTTGAAATCGAATTAGTATCATTATTACTTCGTTGTTTAGAACAGCAACTGTTTGAGATGATGCAATTCGTACTATAAAACTGTATAATATTATCCAGTCCAATGCATCAAAATGAAGTAGCAATAATAGAAAAGTTGATTTTAACTTTGTACTTCCGCAGAAAATTAAGTGATGTAGGGAGATGCAACCACCTTTTTCGAAATCTATAGCCATTAGAAGAAGCACAATCAAACCATGTTCACTTAGGATCAAATCTTGAAATCTAACTAAAGCACTATTTCTCTGGGTTTTACATGGAAGATTCCGTTACAAAATAGGAATTCAAGGGATCATACTTCCCATGGAATCGAACGCGTGACCTCCAACTATAGTTATGGGAAAAGCATAATCTAGCCTTATATGACCTAGGATCAAGTCCGAAAGTCCACATGAAGCACTATTTGTTTGGGCATAGAAAACTTCCTTACGAAATAGGCCCACCTTCATGTTCATGTTATGCTCCTCGCCATCAAGTGTAGCTAAGGTCAAATTTGTGAATCTTGATTTGACCACACCAATTAAACTCTAATGGAAATATAGGTGTCCATCACAGGATAGTGATTGATGTGTCTTGTCTAAAATCTTAAGTTATAAGAAAAACGATGCACCCTATCTTTTGTCCTCATCCATCAAAGTAGTTATATGAATAACAATCGGACTTGAATTAATGAAATTTATCTAATGATATCATATTAAATCAACTCATCGTTACCACACTATTCGTTGCATATGGAATGTTAAACTATAAATGAGATAATATTACTTTTTCTAAGTGAAAAATGAGTACGAAACGAAACTTATTTACTCAAACACACTTCAAAAGGATGACACTTGGTTTTCAGTTTGAACGGCGTAATTGTTTTGATCATCACGAGTTTCAGCTTTTTGAGAATTTTATTTTATTATTATTATTATTATTATTATTATTATTATTATTATTATTATTATTATTTTGACAGATAACAAAATGCCTTAATTAATTGTCAAAGGAAATGGATGACGGATTCAATCTGATAGAGAATGTAGGGAAAAATATTGTGGCACAATGATGATTGGGCTGGATTATTAAAACTGATGGGCTTGTGGACTGGATCATTTGTCACTTGAGCTGGGCTGACCAGATTGGCATAAAACGTGTTTTGATTAAACCCCTTTTTTGTTAATAAGAACAGATGCACCAGATCTTGCCAAGTGTCACCTCTCTCACCGTTGATAAGAGACCTTCTAGCTCCTTCTATATTACGTTGGCTTCTAGGGTTTGGAATGGGTGGCTTTTCATTTTTTACCAGCTCTCTCTCTCGAACTCTCTGTTCTCTCTCGTTTTGTTGGTTCTTCATTTCCTTTTGCACTCAAACAAAAGCCCCCTGTAGATTGATTGTAAGTTCAACCCCATAATAGATCTTGAGTGGTTTTATAGGGCATAATCCTTGAGTGAATATTCAGATATGCGCTGTGGGTTGTTGTATGCGAAATCTTGATGTGATTTCGCCTGAGTGCCATGAACTGTGAACTATAATTTTGGAGATTCCGGTTAATATAGTGATTTCTTCCGGTGGCGGAAGCTCAAAAGGGGATTAGGAACTCCGGTTCCGAACCTCTTGCTTTAGGGCGAAAAATATCGTGTTTTTGCGCTTTTCTTTTATGTTTCTTTCATTTCAGTTTATTATTTCATATTTTTGGGAAACAAAACAGGCTGATTTTCTTGAACTAATCGTAACAACGAAAATCATAATAATTAATTGTAAAAAAACTCCGTGAGAATTACAAAATGAAATTATTAGTATACATAAGCATAATCCATTAATGGATAAGCGCAACACATCAATTCAACAAATCTAATTTAATTTGTTAGACCCACCATAAACTTTTCCACTAATTAAATGATGTGATATGTTAGATAATTAATGGTGCTTAGTAGCTTATTACTCACTCGAATTACATCACTCCTTTTCACTTCTTTAGGAACAATAGTCTGCTCAGCAGGTTGCTGTAATGAATGATGGTTCACTTTCCTTCCATCAAATGGATGCAGCTCATGTCTCTCTATGTAATTCATGTTATTCATGTCTTTTGGATGAAATAATAGTAACATGAAGCTGATCACCTGAGGTTACCATACCTGAGTGCAGACCAGAACTCCATTGGAACCAATTCCGGTCATGGTGCAAACTTTGCAACATCGGGTTCAACCATTATGAGACCAAATGAAACATGGTTCGAGACTTGGGCCAGCCCTTTTAATCTTGAAATCCAAGTTGAGCAGTATATTCAGTTTAAACATAGAACAGCTTATTTTTACAATCAAGGTCACCCCAAATTTCAATTCCTCAAAATTTTTCAATTCCCGGTAGTAAGTTAGGTAATGTGTACTCGACAATATTGGATAATCTAAAGTGTCCATGCTGTTCGTCTAATACTGCATGCTAAACAAATGCCAATCTATGTTTTCTTTGTGATTTTAAGACAAGGAATTGTCCCAAAGAAGTAGGCTACCAAACCCTGAGGATTTCTCGAACTCGAAGGCTCTTTTTCTTCTCGATTTAGGACAAAACAATGTTGTGCTGGCATTCGAAACTTGAGTTTAGAACTTCAGCAAGCAGCCATACCCAAAATAGTCAGCCAGTTTATAGCACAAGTCCGAGTAAGTTGAAAGACTAATTTCGTTCTTTCTCTTCCATTTCTGATCATCAAATGATGATATATATGGCTAAAGATTCTGTACAAATGAGGCTCAAGGACAATCTGCAATTCTGGATACACAAGACAGGTCCAATTGGCTGTTTACCAGGAACCAGTGCTAAAGTTCAATAGCCCTTACCGGGGTATTTTTATGAACACAGTTGTAGCAAGAATTCAAACAACGTAGCCATAGGGCTCAACAAAAAATTCAAGGATGAGATTATCAAACTAAGGGTCGATCTTACTGAAGCTGCAATAATCTATATTGATATTGTTGGGAATCTACTTATACATGCACAGCGGAAAATTAAATTATTTCGATTCCCATCCAATAGATCTCATTGTGTTTGGTTAGGAATTGTGATGAGATTGTACCTTTTGTCAGATCTGCAATCCTTTTACTTTTCTTTTCGTTCCATAACCTTGATTTGCCACCACAGCTGTCCAATTGTCCAGCCTCCAACGGTGATCCACACAGAGAATATGATTGCAGTCTCTAGGGTTTTTTCTTGTACCAGCAAGAATAATGAAAACCATATTGGACCTCAAACCCTAGTTATGTATTTATATAAACCCAAATAGGCTCGGCCCGGTCCGGTCCAATAATTAATTAATCCAATTAATTAAATCCGGTCCGTGAATTAATTAATCCAATTAATTAATTCGAAAATATAAATAACAAATCCAATTAATTAATTTATCCAACGATTGTTAAATTAACCAATTGGCAATTTGCAATCTTCCAATTCTCTTTTGTGTGTGACCCATTAGGTTCCCGACCACGATGTCTAACGACGTGAAATATTATTTTGATCTAATCAAAATTGATAAATTAAAACACCCCTTTTAATTTATCGTCAATTCACATTCGCCGTCCCTGATTGACATCTAGCAATGTGTCAGGGCAATACATGTGACGGGAAATGTCACGTGGTATGACAAAACCAAATTCGTTCGTTTACCGTGAAACTATAATCCCTTCGTCAATATGATCCGATCAATTACGAGATATGGAGTTGTGTCAATCACGATCATCGATCATATCTTTCACTCCACTATTAAGTCAATATAAATCGAAAACTCCTTTTCGACTTATGAGTACACCTTGGCCAAGGATTTCATCATTGACTTAATTGAATGAAACGCAGATCATAATCTCCTACTATCTAAGAGTGACGAATCCTTTATTGATCAATCACAACCTTCATACGATTCTTGACGTACCCGAACGATGTCGTATTAGCGGCCCTTTTCAGAGCAACATCCAACACCGCCATATCCGTAATAACGATATCCGTATCTCGTTATTACTTACGACCATGGATGATTTAAGATTCAATCAGATGTAATTTGTATCTCACAATCACAACTCCTTGTGATTAACAAATTACAAATATTTGAATCTACGGACTCTATTATTTATTTAATTGTCTATTAATTAAATAATAGATCTGCCATTTAATTGCATTAATTATATATAAAAGTATTTATGTCCAAAGTCGATTGGACCTAGGGCATAATACTTACAAACTCCCACTTGCACTAGATCCAATCACTTATGTATCAAATATCATAAGTCTACATGATGATCATGTTTATACTACGACAACTCTTTGTCAGTGGATCTGCAATTTTATTAAATGTGAAAATTTGCTCTTCTCTTTACGTCATTTCTATGTATTATCTCTCTGATGAGATTATACCGTTTTAATACATGTTTGGATCATTGATGAGACCTTAGTTCCTTTGCTTTCGCAATGGCTCTATTGTTATCACAATACTATTGTATGTGATCAACAATATTAGGAACTACTCCAAGTTCATTTATGAACATCATGATCCATATTGCAACTCTTTGCTACTTCTGAAGTATCCATGTATTAGGTTTCTACTATTGAATCAACGGTTGCTTCATGTTTGGAACCTTTCCAACATACCGCTTAAGAGTAAACCAATTTCTCCATATGAAATCTTCTCAAGATTTCATCTATGTAAATTGGGATGAGTTAAGCAATCTTCTAAATCTACCTCTATAGATCAAGTTTCTTATCTCATAAATAAATCTTTTAACAACCATTATTTCAACGATTGAAACTTAGGGATGTCGTTTTAGGAATACGAAAAATGCTCCCACTATCTTCTTGTAAACACACAATTCGTTTCCAAATTTGATAAAATCAAACACTTTGACTTTTCATCAAATCTAAGATTTCAGCTCCAAGAGACTTCTCTTAACCTATAGTCACGATATGCAACTGTTGCAAACAAAACCCGAATGGACTTAAGCAAGGCTACAGGAGAAATATTTCACCAAGGTCAATCATTTAACCTTTGCTTCTAACTTGCTTTGTATATAT